GTGTTGGGGTCTTTTGGCAGGTGTGTGAGTGTATCGAAAGGTCCCGAATGTTGTCGCTGTAGCAAATAATTTGTTACAAAACATATTTTATTGCGACAAATTGTTAAAAACACAACGCACCAGAATCTGAGAAACCATGGATAACGAGCTCGCAAACGCTAACCGCTGGTTGTGGAGCACTTCGCGCAACGCTTGATTGGTTTCCTCGCGACGCAGCAGCTCTTGGCGCTCATTTAGTGCTTCAGCACGCTTCGTGTACTTCTCCTTCTGCTCCTTCAAGCGAGCTATTTCGCCCAGCAGCTCTTCGATCTCAGCCTGCGAAATAAATTCGGTCAGTTAGAGCATATTACAACCAACACTTAAAGAAGCACAAACCTTTCGCCTGCAGTATGTGCGGATTTTATTCTTCTTCGCTTTCTTCTGTTTCGTAGGGCGCGAGGCCGATCCCTTCTTGAGCTTCTTTGACTTCGGTGGCGTGACATCGCCGGACACTGGCACAGGACGCGCACTCATTGATCGATCCGTTCTCCTCTTCTTGTTTTCGATTGCGGCCTTGGAGGAGAAACTTCGGGTTTGCCGAGCATCATCATCCGAGCACATCAGAGATGGCTACATTTGCATGACTTGTTTTCAAAAAAAAGTGAGCATCATCGTTGAATTTGCATTGACATGCAAATGTCTGACCGTCAGTCTGTAACGTTATCCATTCCAGTCTTCGGCAATTTTGCAGCAAAAACTGGAGGAATTCGGTTAATTTTCACAGTAGGAAATCTAGAGTTCACATGCCAATTTGACGACTTATACTGTTAGATAACTGAGCCCCTAGCGTCTGCGCGCTCTGCAGCAGCCAGCATGGAGGCGGAGACGCTCTCGAGGCCGTTCCGGATCCGGTCGGCTATGAATTTGGGGACGTGGATATGAGATTTCCGCAAACACAGCGACCACCAGCGCGAAAATACAATTAGAGGCTTGCCGTCTTTGTCACGGTGTCTCGATACCATAATGATTACCGTGACGTCTTGGCGTACTCTAGTGTCCGGTCTGTAAGGGTAGAGTTCGTCCTCGTCGATAGGGTCATTAATTGAGAACCCGATCTCCTCCACTCCAGGTCCCGGTGGCCGATACTCTGCAAACGCAGCGTTGTTCGTGTCCATCTGCACCATGTTCGCGACGGTTGTCACGAACCGATGCTGCGCCACTGGGGCATTAAGTGATAATTGAGGCTCGTCGTTCTCCCGAATGGTAATGTCGCCATCCACCTCGGACATGCTGATCTCCATGTTGGATACGAATGCCTCCAAGGCATCGAAAACGCGCTTGACACTGCGAGCTTCGGGCAGTGGAACGATTTCGAAGCGCTCGGAACAAACGTCGCCATTGATCGCTGTGAGCCTCTTTTGCTCGCAGAAATCCAGCGTGACGTCCATGTGGCGCAACATTTCCCTCATGAACTCGTAGGCACATGATAACCGCTGTTCCCTCATTGTCAACAGCGCCGCTCTGCGCTTCACCGGGTCTTTGCTTAAGCGCGTCGGTGTGTCAAATGGCGCCGTACACTTTTCACGCTGTAGTAAAAAAAAAAA